AAGACTAAAAATGAAGAAATGAGAATGCTATCTAGGACCTGGAGAAATCAAGGAAACAAACTCTTTCTTAGATCTTCCAGAACAAATATAGACCTGCTGACATCTTGATTTTCACCCAGTGAGATCCTTTCAGATTCTTGACTGCTAGAATTGTAAAGTAACAGATTTGTGTTGTCCTGACTCTACATGTGTGTGATAATTTGTTACAGTAGCCACAGGAAACTAATACAGTTTATAACAACATGAATTTTATCTCAGTCTACTTCAGTTAGGCAAATTCTTACCTGGGCACAGTTGGATGGCTCGGTACATGAGGCAGACTGTGTTAGCTTAGTTCCAGGATTTGAACTGAATCATGGCAAGTCATGACAACTCCAAGTGTTTTCATCCTAGAGCCCAGGCTAAGGAGAGAGAGGCCAACTGGGTCATGTTCTTCTCAGCATATATCGGTAGCACATAAAGAGCCAAGCCCAACAGCACAAACACACTTAGGGTCTCTGTTCATATCACATCTTCCAATATTTCAATGTTCAAAGCAAGTCACTGTCAAGTCTCATGTCAATGGCTTGGGAAAGTAAATTACATCCAGATGGGTAAAGGAGTCTTAACTGCTGGCTAATAGCCCACACTGTCATGCATGTTTTAAATATTCACCAAATTAGGAATGCCTGGGTAGCTCAGTGGGTTGATCATCTGACGTCAGCTCAGGCCATGGTCTCGTGGTCAGTAAGTTCGAAGCCGGCATCGGGGTCTGTGCTGACAGCTCAGAGCCTGAAGCCTGCTTCAGATTCTGTGTCTCCCTCTCTCTCTGCTCGTCCCCCACTCACGCTCGGTCTCTCCCTGTCTCTCAAAAATGAATAAACTGAAAAAAAATTTAAATACTCACCAAATTTTTCTAAGAAGTAATTAAAAATTGGTTCTACCTTAATTTATTTAGGACTTTGCCAAGAACCATAGTCACTGATGGTAATAAAGTATATTGTATTTGGGTTCATTACACTACTGACCTCTATCCATCTGGGTTTGCAACTAAAGGGGAACAGAATTTGTCATTCCAAAATATCTTTGTCTTAAGAATTATTTTAGCCTAAGTACTTTTAAGAAACAGCAGACAGAAGGAAAGCTCTGAAAATTGAATAAAAAGTACCCTTTTGTAAGAGACAATTTACACTTGTAAGGCAAATCTCCATTTGTTCTGATATCTCCCTCTCCCTTCTTAGAAGAGAAGGAGGAGCCTCAATCACTAGCAATTCCTATCATTGGAGAAGACAATGATTTAAATCTTCATTAAAAACTGTACCCTCCTAAAAAAAAAAACAAAAAAACAAAAAAACTGTACCCTCCTTGTGGCACCTGGCTGGCTCAGTCAGTAGAGCATGTGACTCTTGATCTTGGGGTTGTTAGAGCACCATGTTGGGTGCAGAGTTTACTTAAAAAACAAAAATATCTTGGGGTGCCTGGGTGTCTCAGTCAGTTAAGCATCTGACTCTTAGTTTCTGCTCAGGTCACGATCTCACATTTTGTGAGTTCGAGCCCTGCATAGGGCTCTATGCTGACACCACAGAGGCTGCTTGGGATTCTCTATCTCCCTCTGTCTCTGCCCCTCCCTCTGCTTGTGCTGTCTCTCTCTCTCTCTTTACATTTATGATGTAAAAATAAGCATTTTTAAACAGACAACAAACAAAAACTTACCTGTGTTACTGTGCTTTTCCTAATAACCTCCCATTGTGGCTTCTCCTCTTCCTCCCAACATCTTTTGTCTTTAGTTGGAGCTGTTATTTTTTTTTTTAATTTTTTTTTTCAACGTTTATTTATTTTTGGGACAAGGAGAGACAGAGCATGAACGGGGGAGGGGCAGAGAGAGAGGGAGACACAGAATCGGAAACAGGCTCCAGGCTCTGAGCCATCAGCCCAGAGCCCGACGCGGGGCTCGAACTCACGGACCACAAGATCGTGACCTGGCTGAAGTCGGACGCCTAACCGACTGCGCCACCCAGGCGCCCCTAGAGCTGTTATTTTAAGACAGTGGGTTGTTTGGGCCATTTCAGGGAGTTACTCAGTTTCCTCTGTCTTTCCCATGTATAGAGGAGATATGTATGTTATCAAACTTCTGTTTTTCTTGTGTTAGTCTTTTTATTTCAGAGGTGGCTCAACAAGAACCAAGTACAGTGAAGGGAAAATTATTTTTCTCCCTCACACAACTGTCCTATTTACAGAGACTAACTTCTAACTTCACAAGATTTCTATTTCTTGTTATGCTTGAATATTGCATATTAAAAGACATATTATTTATCTCCATTACATATAATGGATTATACACACATGTATGTATTATACATATACCTATCGCATATATGTATGTATCACATAATATGTATACAATTGTTATACCTATTGCAAATTATTTTTAACTATTGTATTACAGTTGGGATATTATATAGATTTTAGTGCTTTTCAGTGTATGCAGGTAATTTCATAATTAAGAATTGCTTAAAGTAATGTTGGGTTTGAGAGGGATAGAACCACTACCCTAGAGCAAAGTACACATTAATACAAAAAGAGCAACATTTTCTCCTTACCATTTAATCCCAAAGAATTAAAACCATGCCATCAACATCTCAGAATGAAAACCAATATTACTTAGCATCTTTATCTAAAAGGGAGATAGTTTAATTGAAAAAATCTAATTTTTCTAAGGGATCTAGGTTTTTAGGGTAAAAGCATCTCCAAAAGCTTTTCCTATTTTGACAGAAGTGGGAAGAAACACAACTAAACAAATGTGAAGACTTACATTTTTTTTTTAATTTTTTTTTTCAACGTTTTTTATTTTTATTTTTGGGACAGAGAGAGACAGAGCATGAACGGGGGAGGGGCAGAGAGAGAGGGAGACACAGAATCGGAAACAGGCTCCAGGCTCCGAGCCATCAGCCCAGAGCCTGACGCGGGGCTCGAACTCACTGACCGCGAGATCGTGACCTGGCTGAAGTCGGACGCTTAACCGACTGCGCCACCCAGGCGCCCCCATACCTACTTCTTATAGGAATCATAAATCATCTCCATGAGTGAAACTGCTATGAGGACTTTCTAAATATATTTTACATGATAATATTAAGTTCCCTAAAATGTGGGACTATGAGTAGTGGCTATAGGCACAAATTGGATTTGCATGACCTGAAAAATATATGAAATGAAAAACATGTGGAAGATGAAAAAAAATAGATACAGTACAGGCAGGTATTTGTGAAAGGGGTTCTTGCTTTATTGCTTAGAGTGTCTATGGAAGGTCTTTGGAAGGAAAGAGAAATTCAGCTAATTCATGATAGGAACTGAAGAATGAAAGAGGACAGTGAGCTGATTTGAAGTAAATCCCTCATGGTTAAAGGCAATTCAATCTATACATGAATGAGGGCTAGTTGAAAAGAAATAAATATGCACAATTCATACAAAAAAACTGCAAAGGACTGTCCATCAAGTGCATTGATGGGAGCTAGTGGGAAGCAACCATCTGATGGTGTTCTTATTTGAACAATATATCTTTCACATGTCTGAAAAGCAAAGAGACCCAGAAGGAGAAACAGGATCATAACCAGAGAGTGGATTCCTGGAAGATGGACAACACGTGAAAGCAAAGAAACTCAAAGGAAATTTCCCCCAACAGCTAAGCCCTTTTACAACAAGGGGTGAGTAAGTATATTTCTTCTCTAACTAGGAAGCTTCCCAATGATATGATCATGGGTCTTGTATCAAAAATGTTCATCCTTTAATCAAGAATAAAAATATTTTCTCCTTTTCTAACTCAGAAGTCCAGAAAAATTGTTTGAAGTGTAGAGTTGCTGAACTGGGACAGGTGAGAGGAAAGGTCCACTACAACATCCTCTATCCAGAAAAGAAGCCTGAGGCTCACCTCACAAAGAAATGAGTGTGAAAACAATATAGATGTTTAGAGATAGATCTGAAGCCAGAATGAAGACTCCATTTCCCCAGAGAGGTATTTTTCCATTTTTCCCATCTCAGCAAGTCATTAAAAGCCAAACTGGTAAAAAAAAAAAAAAAAAAAAAAAAAAAAAAAAAAAAAACAAAAAACAAAAACACACACACACACACACAAAAACAACCACCATGCACGTATCATTGACAGATGTCTAAATTTCACTTAACAACCACCAACAGTATCTAGGATGCTAATCTTCAACCATTCCAGCATCCCAAACTTCACTTTGATGGGCATACCAGGCTTAGAGTCACAGCACTTGTGGTTATTTATTCCTTTCTCCTCCATGTTCTTGGCTGTCCTCATTGTCAATGGTGCTATTCTCTTTCTGGTGGCCACAGAGCCCACATTTCACATCCCAATGTACCTGCTCCTGGCCTTGCTGATGGTAGCTGACCTCATATCTACTCTGGCTCTATTGCCCAAGTTCCTTTGCCTCTTCTGGTTCAATGATGGGGATATAGCTGCCAATGCCTGTTTCACCCAGATGTTTTTCATCCATGGAACATCTGTGGTATGATCAGCCTTACTTGTCGCAATGGCCTTTGACCGCTTTGTGGCTGTATGTGAGCCGTTATGCTACAACACAATTCTGAGCCATTCCTTAGTTGGATGCCTGGGACTGATGGCTCTGGCAAGGGTGTGATTCTTATCCTACCCATGCCACTTCTACTTCAAAGGTTGACATTCTGCCACATGGTCATTCCTCATACCTACTGTGACCACATGGCTTTGGTGAAAATGGCTTGTAACCATACCAGACCTAACCATATCTATGGGCTCTTTGTGATTCTGCTAGTGGTGGGACTTGATCTGCTGCTCATTGGCTTCTCTTATGGCTTCATTCTTCAGGCTGTGGTATGTCTCAATTCTCAAGATGCTACCTATAAAGCTCTCAACACCTGTTCAGCTCACCTCTTTGTCATTCTTGTCACTTATATTCCTGCACTCTTTTCATCTCTCATGCACCGCATTGGTCACAATATCCCACCTCATGCTCGTGTTCTCCTTGCCAATCTCTACCTTCTTCTACCCTCAGTGCTCAACCCCATCATCTATGGTATAAAAATGAAGGAAATATGGCACAAGGTGACCAAATGCCTTTGCAGAGGACCTGCATAGACTATGAGTGCTGACAATATACCTGTGAGTAAATAAACAGTGAGAACAACTGACAGTGCTTTGCCCAACCATCCAAGACCCAGTTATATCTTTAAATGGGCTGTGGAACAAATAGATCAGAAGGAACATTTGTGTGTGGTGGTTTCCCACATTCTGGCTTGTTTGTTTGTTTGTTTGCTTTGTTTTGTTTTGGCTTGCATGAAGAACCAATGTTTGTCCTTTCATTGAGCTATGAACTAAAAAAGGAAGAGGCCAAGATGGCTCTTTCTATGTCTGTTTAAACAGAAGCGCTCTTATGGCACAGGTCTCCTGATGACTTTCACATCTGTGTTCACGTTCATCAGCTACACACAAGATTTTTCTGTAGATGAGCCAAGATCATCTTTCCTTGTCTTGCTGGAAAGTTTATACTTACTTTGGCTTTCTATTTTCTAATTTTTAAATTCTGTGTCTGTTTCCAAAGAATGTCTTACTACTGAAAGCACCTAACATACTCACTATCTTTGGATACCACTTTAACACGGAAATTTGTCTTTTCACCAAGATTATTTCTAATGCAACAGCAGTGCAACATGTTCACGATATTAATTAGATGATTGTGACGATTATAACAAAAATGGATGAACTTGAAGATGACATATAGACACAGGTTGTGGGATTATTGAAATACATATCACAGGTTTCGTTGCAAGGGAAAACATGTGTCTAGATGCCTAATTCGAAAGACTTCTGTGACCAGGAAATTTACCTTAAAAAAAAAAAAGATATATGTTAACAGGAAGCTACCTGTTCCTTAAGTGATATTCCAGGGTAACTCGGATCATGAACAAAGACCAACTTATGTGATGAAGCTTTGCCACTTTGAAATATTTGAATCATTGTAGTGCTTTCTATCTAATCATTTTAAGTACATAGTCATCATAGGGTCAATTGCATAATGTAATAAGGCAAATACAAGATTGGATATTTAAGCAGAAATGGCTCCATTTCCAAAAAAAATTTTAATGAATCCATGAAATATAAGAACTACTAAAAAGTAGGATAGTTACAGTTTTAAAGTTAAATAATTGTTATTATCGTAAACATAGGAAAAAGAATCCTAAATTTTTAAATCCTTTTTAAATCTCTATCCTGTGCTTGAGATTCTTAAAAAGATAATGACACTGTGAGAAGGAGTTGTGCATGTACTTTTTCTCCCTAGCCAGGACTTCTGACCAATCCTGACCTCCTCTCTACTCTGTTCAGCTCACCAGTCTATAAACCTTAAGAACATCCTCAATTCATGTGACTTTGACAGAGAGCCCTCTGTACTAAATACCCCTTTTCCTTCAGTTTCCACTGGTCTTGCCTAGCTTTCAGTGTAGGGGGATGCCTACAAAACGGGAGTGAATCATATTATCCACACAAGAAAAGAAAGAAACCATTATCTCTAGCCTGTTCTGCTATTTGTCTCTCTTAGTAAAAAAATATCCTAATTCATTCTTAACTATGAAAGTATTTTTTTGTATAGAGTGTGTTGGGGAAGTTTGGACTGAGGGGAAGGAAAAAGGGGAGAGTCAGGTAACTAATCTATAAAGGCTTCCCTGGCCTTTTTGTACTTCATAACCCAGATTTCCCATCGAAGGTTGGAGCATAGAGAGAGGATTTATGCCTGATACTGACTTTCAGCCACCATCATGGTCAACATGTCAGAGTTTTAAAAAAGCAAGAAAATAAAGGACTGAGTATTCTACTGTCACCAATATAATATCAGTGATGGAGAAGAATGATAACATTCAAACCTTGGATAAACATGTGAGGATACTGGGTAATAAGAAACCATAAAGTTCAGGGCAATAGCTAAGGTTGAGGTAGTTCCATCCTAGAATAGGAGTGAATGGAAGAGGCCTATCTTATGTTTCTCACATTCTATCAATTTCAGCAGAAATACCATCTGTTTAAGTGGCTCTGTGCCACTAGGCTAGTTATGCTGGGTTTTTTAATATATAATAGCTTAGGGAACCATTTCAACTTTAACTCGTTATGTAATAATATCCATTTTGCAGGTAAATTTACAGAAGTTCAATTTCTTTGTAATTTTCCCATAATTAAACAGGTAGTAAGTGATTGATTCTAAATTCTCTTTTTGATGATAAAATGTCTTCCCATGCTATTATGCCCATGTTGTCTCTTTAAAGATAACCAAGAAGTTGTGCAGCAAGACTAAGTGTAACATTGATCAAGAATGGTTAATCAGGGGCGCCTGGGTGGCGCAGTCGGTTAAGCGTCCGACTTCAGCTCAGGTCACGATCTCGCGGTCCGTGAGTTCGAGCCCCGCGTCAGGCTCTGGGCTGATGGCTCGGAGCCTGGAGCCTGTTTC